GAGTTCGTGGTGGAGCGATTGCTTAAAGCTCTCTCTTTCTACTCAGTAGTCAGACACAAATCTCTCTGTATCTTATTATCTTTTTCTGATAAATCTGTTCTCTGTTATTCTGATTCTCACAGAGCTGATCAGTGATTCACTCTCTGTAAGTCTGTGACTCTCACAGTGATTTATAAGTAATGAATAAGAGTTATCAGTTTCTTCAGAGTTAAGAACTTAGAGTTTTACTTAATGAGCTTATTCTGCATGTCTTTATTCAGTCTTTTTATAAATATCATTATTCAGGTCTTGTTTCAGAGCTCTGTTTTCACAGACTTTAATTTATATTATAATTCTACAAAGTGCTGTGAGTAGTCTTCATCAGATTTCTCACCTCTTTTTCTAATATTAATAATTATGACTCAGATATTCTCTGTTCAGCTTATGAAGTCTCTTAACTTATTCTCTAAATAGGTCTTGAGAATAGATCAGTGAGATCTCTTATAATTATTCTCTAGATAATTCAGTCAGTTCTTAACTTCAGTGTAATAGAGATCTGTTATTATATAGATGACAGCTTCTTCATCTTTTATATTACACAGCTGAGCTTGTGAGTTAATTTCAAATACAAACTTATAAAAGCTTTTATAAATTGTAATTTAATAAGTGATCTTAAGTGATTATAACTTAAGAAAGTTTCTTTTCAGTTCATAGATATCTCTGAAGATTATATCTAGAGACTCAGTTTGAGAGTGTTTATAGATAGTAAGTATTTCTTATAGAAAAATAGCTTAATTCTGTAAGAGATGCTCAAAAATGTTCTTTACTGAAATTAATTCATTCATGAGTTTGAAAAGTTTCTCTGTCACAGATATAGAGAATGATATTCTATAAGTAATTAATAAGTTCTCTGAAACTTCTTTTATAGAGATTATTCATAATTTGAGTGACTGCTTCTGAGTGTCTGCAGTAGAGTTCACAGAAATTAAAGTATATAAGTTTCTAGTTCTTTCAGTTATAATAAGTAATTACTGACTGACTGAGCTTGAAATGTAAGAATAAGTGCTTATAGATGATTATTTAAGTATTTACAGCTTAATATGATATGTACTGTTAACTACTAGAAGTATTCACAGTAGAAAGATAAAATGTAGAGATTAAATATATAATAGAATTCAAGCTGAGTTATGAATAGTATTCATGAACTTCAGTTTATATAGTTATATATAGTCAAGAGCTGCTAGCTCTATTAATTACATGAGAGATAGAAATAGAGGTAAAGAATCCGTGAGAAGCGGGATTTCTTACAGTTTTAAAAAGTAATAAGTTAATAGACTTAAATAAAAAAAATAAGAAAAAAAATAAGAAAAAAAAAGTAAAAGTTTTATAATTAATCAACTCTTTTATTAATAGTATATTAATAATAATTAAGCTCTTTTATCTTAATAGTTTATAAATTATAAAACTATTAAGTATAAGTTTTACTATAATTAATATATATAAATTTAATTTCAGAATAAACTTAAAATTTTCTAATAAATACTTTAAAAGTCTTTTAAACTTAAACTGATTATATAATTATATCTAAGATCAGAATTAGAATATTTAATAATTTTATTATTAAATTAATTATATAATTATATCTGAAATCAGAATTAAAATTTTTAATAGTTTTATTATTAATTTAATTAATCTTATTACATAATTTTAATATTAAATAATAGTTTTATACTATTTCAGTAAAACTTACTATTTACTCTTATTATATTTTTTAAATAAGATTATAATTTTCACTTCTTAATTTAAATTATTTTTATTACTTTAAATGATTTTAAATCTTATTTAAGTACTATTAAAAAGTATTACTTTTTAAAAAATTAAAAATAATTTAAAAAAAACCTTAAAATATCTAATAATAGTAACTTTATATTAAGAATAAAATTAAATAAAATTACTTTCTTATTTTTTTTAAGTTATAATTTCATTTTAAGATTTAATATATAGTTACTTTACATATTTTTTTAATAACTAGTCTTAGTAGAATTTATATTAAGAAATGTATAAAATCAGATTAAATAAAATTAAATATAAAATTTATAATCTTAGTAGTTAGTTTATTTATTATTAATTTAACTAATTTTATTACACTGTTTTAATATTAAATAATAGTTTTATACTATCTCAGTAAGACTAGACTAATTACTGAGACTATAAATTTCATATTTAATCTTATTTAATCTGATCTTATACATTTCTTAATATAAATCTCACTGAGACTAGTTATTAAAAAAACATGTAAAGTAACTATATATCAGATTTTAGAATAAAATTATAACTTGAAAAAAATAAGAAAGTAATTTTATTTAATTTTATTTAATCTTATTCTTAATATAAAGTTACTATTTTTAAATATTTTAAGGTTTTTTTAAGACTATTTTTAATTTTTTAAAAAGTAACACTTTTTAATAACATTTAAATGAAATTTAAAGTTATTTAAAGTATTCTTTGTAATAGCGAGTGCGCGGTCAGAAACGGCGTTCCCTGCCTGATTCAGTGAAGCGCCGTCCGTGTGTGGTCTAGCGCGGATCGATGTGGTCTGGCGCTGCCCCGTTCGGGCATGGCGCTGACTTACTGATTACCTTCGACTCTTCAACATCATCTGTTGTAACTATATAAAGCTGCTTTGACTGCCTCTCTTACACACACACTTCTGCATTCTTATTTCTCTTTCTTCTCTTCATTCATTTTCTTTCCTTCTCTTCTCTGTCTCTGTCATCTTGTCTCTCTGACTCACTGCCTCTTTATTATCACTCAGCTGTTCATCACTCTGATTTGATTATCACTAGTTGAAGAAGGCCTCTGCAGTATTGATATCAGTATTGAACCTGTCTAGAGTTCTTTTTCATATATATCATATGTGTTCTTTGTCTTATGTCTTACATCTTCTTTCACTTCTCTTTCTGCTTCTTCACTCTCTACTTCTGTCTTGTGTTGAGGTGATACATGTGATTTCAAAAACAAAACAAAAACAAAATAAAAAATATATCTTATCACCTCTCTGTATCTGCAACTGGTCAATCTCACTCACAGTTCTCTGATCACTCTGTAACCTCTCTCTTATGCTTCAAACATGCCTTCTGTTCAGCGGCCAATGGTAAAAATGCCTCATTTCAATGAAACTCTGTAGAAATGAATGATTGATCTCAACTGCAGCATTGCTGAACCAGCGCCATTCTTTCTCTGACTTTTGAACTTGTTCTTCAACCTGTTATTTGCTGGTGCCTATGTGTCAGACTAAGAAATAACAAGAAGGGCGATTGATCACATGCCATGTTTTCTTTCTTCTGCCCGTGGTTCGAAAGACCGCAGTTTCAGCTCCGGTGTGGCGATCTTGCAGTTGAATCAATCAACCTCATCAGAAAATCCCTGTGATATGGTACGTGAGTGAGCTGAAGTCGCATTGTTCAGTCATTCTCACATCAGGCTTTCCAGAGCGTGTCTGCGCCGTGTACGCTATGTAGAGATGCAGAGATGATGTGATACAGAAGAAAGTCACAGAGCCGAAGGCATGAGAAGACTGTGTAAGTGAGGCTATAGCTGCATGTATGCACAGCTGTTGTGTGCTGCTCATTCTCACTCTTCTTGAGAGATTCGCATTCAATTCATCCATGATTCTTGCATCTTCCATGCCTGGATTGTTCGAGTGAAATTGAACTGAGATGAGAGAAGGCTGTGGCACTGCTTCTGTGTTCACTCAACAGGTGATGAATGTGACTGGCTGATACTCACACCTGCTTGAGTTACATTCTGCTGTTACATGTGCGGTGGCTGATAATGTTTGATTTGAGAGGTCTGACACTTGTTGACTCTCTTTTAAGTGAGTGTGGATTTTTCTGACTGATAAGCTTATTTGAAGAAACAGGGAGAATGAAGCTATCATCAGAGTGATGAAAACTGTAGATAAAATGATCTGCTTTTCTCTGTGAATTCATCACTGCTGTTCTGACAAACTACATGAGATCATCATCTCTTCTGTGAACATGTACAGTGACTGAAACATATATACCTCTTTCAATTCCTCTCTCAGAGCCTTGAAAACTCCTCAGTTCTCTAACCCTGTGAATCTTCTCTCTTCAAGACTCATGCCTGCAATTCATCAACTCTCTTACTCTATACTCTCTGCATCTCAATCTCTTCAGATGATTCCTGCATCTTTCATCAGTCTTCAAACACTCTTTCACTCTTTACCTTCTCATTCTTCTTCTTTCAGTCATTCTTCACAAGCTCTGTCTTTCCCCTCTTTCAAAGATCATCATGAGGTTCAGTCTCAGACAGGGAATACTCACTTGAATGATTTTGATAAACTCTTTGCAGAACTTGATTCTCTCTGCATTCTCATTCTCAGTGATGCAGTTGTGAAACACTTGAGCCGGTATTTGCAGAATGAGAGACACAGTTCTCATGATAGGTAGTTGACCTGCTCTCTCTCTCTCTCTTCTCTTTCTTTTTGTTCTATCTGGTTAGACTGGTTTCTAACACCAGGGCATCTTCAAGGTTTTTCTAATGAGGATGAGGACAGAGGCCAGGAGAAGAATGACGAATTTTTACTGATTTCTTCACCTGCTGTAGAATGCAGCCTGGTTGAATTCATCAGCATGAAGGCTCTTCCTGGCAACAGCAGTTCAATGTTCATTCTGGATTCAACTTCACAAGCTGGCTTTTTGAAGTCAGGATCAGATCAGAATACATCACATAGATGAAAATGGCTCTGAAGCAGTTCTGATGACCCTCTGCCCTTCAATCTGCTGATTGTGATAGACTCTGATAACAGTGCTACAGACAGGTCTGCTGTTGACAGCATCTTCATGTCTCTCATCAAATGAGACACTTCTAGCTGTGCAACATCCATATCTCGCTCTCTCAAGGCAGATGGTGGAAGTGATGAAGCCGGCACTGGCATTGCCGGTGGATGTTCTATTTCACTCAAGAGACAACGCTGAAACGGGGCTGGTACTGGTGCCATGCACCTCATGGTTGTGGTTGAAGTACCGATAATCGCGGATTGCCTCAAAGAAGACATATTAAGCCGACTCCGGACCCGCCAATGGAAGAGTCGTGCACGATCGAGGCATGAGGTCCCCAATACCCAGGACTGTAAGCTTCCCGGGAAACCCGTGCAGTGTGTTGAAGACAACACAACCATGTCTGACACAAGTAGCTCGAGCGCACACTCCGATGATACAGACGACAACTACCATGCAAGCAGCGAAGAGGATGATCCAACGAAACCGCCATCAAAGCATCGCAGGCTTCCCACACCGCCATCCAACGCTGCGTCGCGCCATCCTCGGTTTCAGATCCCAAGGGCAGCAGCCGCTGCAGGTCGTGAAGGTGTCAAACAGGAAGACAGCAAGGTGCGAGCGACGACTGCGAAAGATCATTACACAACCCCCCCGAACACTAATCATGGACTGGACACATACACCCACTCCCGACATCCTATTGATGACAAGACACATCATTGCCCTCTTCCATTGTTGGCCCGAGGGGAAGCCGTGATGCTTTCATCTACAGTGGCCCAAGTCATTTTCAAGATGGTCACAGGCTGTCCAATGACCACCTCAGATCTCATGAGTGAGACAACAGCCGCGGCTGACACTGAAAGAGATTACAGCGAACGGAAGGTCGAGGATTTGGATGGAAAAAGACATCACTGGACTCGAGAGGAGGACAACTGTCTAATGGCCCTGAAGCAGGACAGCTTCTCTTGGCTGGAGATTGAGGAGCAGTTTCTACACAGACAACTCAGCTCATTGCGGCAGCGATGGTACACAAAACTTCAGAATACGCACGCAAGCAACCCTCCCACCGACAAGCTGAGGCAAGAGGGGAAATGTAAGCGCGCCCATGTGTAGAATGTGTGTTGCAATGCGTACTTACTGATGCCATGCGAGCCTACCAGGTCGTGCGTCGGCTGGTGAACTCCTTCCAATATCGAAGCCGCCCACACCCCTCAAAACTTCACATCACTATCCCAGCGGACAACCCCAACCAGCAGATGATCCGGCCACGCCGAATGCGAAACCCCGCACACCATCTCCGTCCTCAACAGTGACCGCCATGTGCCCAGTGTGCAATTCTGTGGTCGAGGTGGAGGCTTCCAGTGCGTTCGATGCCACCAACAATCGCATGGGGGTCCGCGAGCAGCTGCGGTTCTGCGAGAAGCACCGAAAGGAAACTGCACGGCGCGAGTGGTCCCGACTTCGTTATCCCATCATTGCTTGGGACCGCCTAGATGATCGGTTGACTCAATTCCATCCTCGCCTGCGCCGGATCCTCGATGATTCCGGGTACCGCTCCCGCTATAAGAGTGTTGTGCACAAGAAAGTGCGGAAGCATGGCAGGAAGATCCTCTCCCGGAGTATCCTGCACAGTACCGGCTACTATGGCCTTAGAGGCCATGAGATTCTGTGAGTGAAGAAACACCCCCCCAACCCCAACCCCAACCCCGCGAACCCACCGGAGGAACCTCTTCACTGACCTTCCCCCCAGCTCAGCGCATGTCATGTCTCACTTTAAAGATGCTATCGACTCACTGGCCGGCATCGATAGCGTGGCGTCGAAGTATGGGACCGTTGTGTATGCCCAGGAGGTCTTGGTTCCGGAACTGCTGGAGATGTTGGTTCAGGAGGACATGGGAGTCGATGCCAAAGGGGCCCGCTGGATTCTGAAGGAGAGCAACAAAATCGGAAATTTGCTTAATCTTGAGTGAATCGGGGAACATCCTTGTAGTAGATTATTTAGCTGATTTAGTAAGCTGTCTAAGAAGTGGAGTGGACCTAATTACAGAAATAATTGGACACGTTAAACGGTATGCATTGAGCAGGCTAATATAAATGATGCTTATTCACTAGAACTTCCGCGTTTGATTTTTGTCTCGCGGACAGCCACGGCAAGGTATGAATCCTACAACTCTGATATGGCATTTATCCATCTACGAATAAAAATTTTACAAAATTAAACAGTAGATACATTATGCCCTCAAGATAGATCTCTCCAACAAGCTCTTGTGGGCTCCACTTGAGTTAAAGGTCAACAAGTTCATCAAAGGTCAGATGTTCGTCCAAGCGCTTTTCTACAACTTGCTGCATCTTCATCCGAACAAACCCATCCAGCCCATCCAGCTCGTCCCGAGAGAGAAGAGAGAGTCTGTCATCTAGAGAGTTCAGACGACCAAAGTGCTTCTCATCAAGAAATGTCCAATAAATATCATCAAACATGAAGCTCCTTCTTGTAGCAAGACAGAACCAAAAGAGCCCACAGTCCAGAGAGCGTTCCATCCGATCTGATAGGCGCTGTGAATCCGTCAAGGTCCCATTCCGCAACTGCCTGTCCTCACAAGCCCGAAGGATCTTGAGGAAAAATTGGAGCCTTGGTGTGTATCTGGCCAAAAAGTCATTCAGATCTGACTCCCAGGCTTCTGGCCTTTCCAACAGGAGCCACCATGGCGCAGTGCAGGTAAATTCGGTGGGTGCAACATAAGTAAATTCCCAGTCAATAACACCAGTAATGGTAAGATCAGACTCAGAGACGAGTACATTTGATGGACAAAAGTCATCACACCATAGGTGGAAGGGACCTGGTTCCCATTGAATATCCCGTGCTATTTTTCGGAAAAGACAGCGCGCTATGTACCTCTTTCGAGCATCATGTTCATTTTCCACGGCATCGTTGCGCTGATATTGTACATGAAGAAGCTGCTGGGTAGCAAGTTCCTCAAAGTATTCAGCGGCTGTTGGAAAAATCTTCTTTGTAAATTTAGCCGGAGGAAGGTTTCCAACACGCACAAGTTCATTCATATTCAAAGTCATTGGCCTCTTGGTCACTCGCCATTCCCCTGATTCGCATTCCAGAGCCCCAATGCTTGGGAAGGAGGGTTTCGAGAGCTCCAGCATGATGTCGGCCATTCCCCGATAGGCTCTTTCCAAGTCACTTAAGCCCACAGAAGGGTCCCTAAGCTGTTTGGACAGCAAGGTGCCCTCAATAAAAGTTGTGACAACATAAGGGCCGCATCCCCAGCGACCTGCACCAAGAACAATAGGAACAGGAACCCGCGTTCGTCTTGAGAGAAAATCCATCACTGAAACCTCGTCCCGAGTCTTTTCTGTGCGAAACCGGCTTCGACCTAGAATAGGAAATCGAACAACCACGCGGAACTCATCTTCAAATGTGACGGTACAGCATATATTAAAAGCGCCAGTGGTGAAACTTGAAGCTTCGATGGCTTGATGGCCAGGGCGGTGTTGACCCGCAAGTGTCAGTGCTATGGCGGGTGACAGGAGTTTGAGCCAACTTGCAAACAACTTCCGGGACGACTCCTCAGCCAGATGGTCCCAGTCCATGTTCAGTGTCGCACTGTAAGAGTTGATGGCAGTTTTGAAAGGAAAGAAAGAGTGTTGGAAAAAACTGGTCCAAGACACAAACCAAGTTGAAGCCGCAGAATTGGTGAGAGAAGTATTCTGAAAGCGCAAGAAAGGGCGACGTCGGGTTGGGCTCGTTTTCAGGTTCCCACGGAGTCACAATTGCCAAGCAATCAGGCGGCAAGGGGATTGGGCAAATAACTAGCTTGCAGTCTTGTAGAAAAGCCGCTAGCTAGGTGTATGGGCCGTGTCTGTTCTTGGTTTGGTGGATGTTACCCTCGATCGGCATGGAAGAAGAATACACCGAGCCATTCACTCCATATTAGGGATCATTTTAAGTTAATTTGAGTTTTAATTTATTTTTATTCTTTTCCTTCTCCTTTTGCTTCTACAATCCGGGATCTATGAAGCGGAGGTGAGCTGCGTACGACCCGTAAACGGAAATGCAGAATCATGCTGCTGCCTACATTCATACGCTTTTGTGCCGCTTACATCCACAGGAAAGGTATATATAACCACCACTGTCGACAGCCGACTACCAAATGCGGTTGAGTCCCCAAATCTCCAGTGAAGTGCCAGTTCAATCTTAAAATTCTTTCTTCCTTGCCGCACGACTTTCCCACCACATATCTATTTCGAAGTCTTTCATCTTGTTACCAGCAGCATCATGAGCGGCAACGCTGATAAAGCTAAAGAAGCCCGTGACACATTGAGCTCGATATACTCCTTCTATGCGGCTAACCAAGATACTGTCGAAAATGTCCCTTCCTTCATCAGCAGTTCTAGCGGTGATATCCCAATCGCCGTGCAGATCCCGTCTGCAGAACAAACTGAAGAATTGAAAAAACACCTGAAGATGCTAATTGAAACTCAAGAGGCGATTGCCGGTATTTCAGAAAGGGACCGGCGACTCATGATCGAGGCAGCCGACGCTAGCACCATCAAGCGCAGGGAAAACAAACAGAACAAGCAATCAGGGACTGGCACTGGAAGATAGAACGGGTGAGAGCAGAGTCTTTATATTTGGTAATTGAGCTATCTAACGCATGAGGTATAAGCAGATGGGTTCGACAGAGTGATCCGGCAACACCTGCGTACAACACCCTCCAATGTTGCTTCGTCTTGTGGGCATAGTTGTCTAATCAGGTCTGCCACAGTCATGTTTGTGGGGGCCTGGTAGGTTGTGAAGTCGAAGACCGCATCCTGGGCGTTCCAAGGATAGTGCGTTGCGCAGCGGAATAAGTGGATGGTCGGGCCTTTAAGTGTGTATCTCCAGTTCGGGTCTAAATGGAGGAATTTTGCGGACAAGAAAGGGTTTCAAGGTGGTGCAAGCATGCAAGCGCCGCGGCAAGTTTTAGGCTGATTCTGCAAGTCAATTGAAGAATTACTTGCAGAAGTCAGGTCATGCTACATCTTCAAGAATAAATCCTGCATTGCAATTTTCAGCCCAGGAGGAAAGCATGCCTGCCAGACTAAGATTCTGTGACAATCTGTCAAAAGCATGAGTCATCAGTTGCTTGACAGTATCTCCCTGTCAGAGGGACAAAAGAAAGAAGTTTGCAATGACATGTGCAGTTTCTTGAATGCTCAGTCAGTGTATGTGAAAACAGAAAGACTGTACTGTCATGGTTACCTATTTGATGAGCCCTCTGAGACTGGGAAAACCAGCCTTGCACTTGCTTTGGTGGGTAAATTCAGTCTGGACATTTACACATTGAGTCTGACAGGTCAAAACATGAGTGATGATGAACTTCAGTGACTCTGTAGCCATCTACCACGCCGTTGTATCCTCCTCATTGAAGATATCAACAGTGCCGGAATCAACCGCGAGGAAATGCGAGCTCTACAGCAGAAGGACAGTGTGAGGCAAAACAACCAAGTATCACTCTCCAGCCTCTTGAATGCAATCAATGGTGTCTCATCCTCTGATGGGAGAGTCTTGGTCATGATCACAAACTGTCAAGATCAACTTGATGCGGCCCTTATCCACTCAGAATGTGTGGACAAGAAAGTGAAATTTACACTGATGTTAATGAAACAAATACAATCGATTTTCCAGCATATGTACATTCATGAAGGCCACACCAATCCTGCAGAAATGGCTGCTGAGTTCGCCAAGTGAGTTTCTGATTGCCAGTATAGCCCGGCGGATATTCAGAACTATCTATGAAGACATGATGACTCTACTAGTACTGTTAGAGAAGCTCAGGAGCAATTCACAACAAAGGAGTGAGCCTCGCGGCTGGATTATACTATTCAGTACCATGTCTTTCCTTTACCTTTTCGTTCTGTCTCATCAAGAAATCAATTACTATAAATTATCGATCACTCAAGGTGATGTTGAACAGCAAGAAAGCTCACAGTCCTAAGCCTAGCAGTAGCGAAAAACGGGTTGTGGATCTTCCGCAGATGCATCGACACCAATTAATTTAGTGTTAAATGATATATCTCGCCAGAGCTGTTTGGAAATGTCAAAACAGATCCGTTTATATCCCTTTTTCTGTTTTTCTAGGCTGAACGTAGAACATGCTCAAATGTCCTTTCCATGTGCGAGTACAATTTTCACACTTCCTTTTCTAACTGATTGAATTATTAATATTAGCAGCAAGATGTGTGATCAAATTTGAGTTAATGGAGGCGCTAAAGATTATTTTTCTCAGTTCCAATAGGCTTGCTGTTGTCGTCGCTATTCATTGACAAACGATGCCTATAGTCTTAATTCCCCAAAGGTATACATATAGGGGGAAGCCGTCCCCCGAACATCAGCAACATTGGAAGCTATGTTTATCTCTCTCCTTTTCTTCGGTATGGCTGTCAAATTGCCTAGTCGACCTGGGACAGCAAGAGAAATACTACCTTCCACGGACCATTCTCATGGCGTAGAGACGGAGGGAGAGAGGGGAAGGGGGGCGGGCGAAGTTGGAAACGAGATAGAGAATATAGAGGAAGAAGGGGAGGAGGAGGAAGAGGAGGAAGAGGAGAAGGAGAAGGAGGAGAAGGAAGAGAAGAAGGAGGAGAAGAAGGAGAAGGAGGAAGACGAGGAAGAGAAGGAGATGAGCAGTACCAGCGACTACCACTCTGAATTTGAAGATGGCTTATTTTGTCTCACACCAAGTGTCACTGATTATCTGTAAGGACCTTGTTTCATACTCAAAATGACTATCTCAGCTAACAATCTCAGGGCTCTGGTAAGAGGGAACTCAAAACTGACTTGGCCCGCACAAGCTAAAATAAGCAGTATGACTGAACATATCATGCATTTTGTGAAGGGAAATACCTTTTGATAAGTCCTCTTCTCTTACAGTGAAGAATCATGTTTATTAACTTCTTAATAGCTGAATGATGAGCCGGAGAAAGATTGAATGAACATGATAAATGATTATGCCTGATGCTTATTGCATAAGATCTGACTGAGACACAGATGCACCAGATATACAAAGAGACCTTGAGTGAACTATTTCTTACTCTCATAAGTGATAGCCCTCATCATATTCTTGATATGAGAATGGGAACAGGTATCTGAGCAATTGAATGTGCTAAGTGCATAAATCAGAAGCCGATGTTCATGAGTATTTATTTGAGTGACTAATTATTACAGACAGCAAATATCCCAGCGCAGTGGTTTGAGGAAATGACTTAAGCCCAATTCAACCTACTCTGTAAGAAGTGTTACTCACTCTACAAAATATATTCTCTGACTTATGATTTATTTCAGTGTTTCATCAAATTGCATTTTTGAGATTGATAATTTTGAGAAATGGGAATTGCCATACAAATTTGATCTCATTCATGAATGTGAGTTGAATAATTCAATCTTCAACTGCAAAGAACTGTGCAGAGAAGCTTTCAAGCATTTAAAACTAAGTAAATACTTTGAACTCAAATCACTTGAGCACAGCTTCTTCTTGAATGATGAGACATATAAAAAAGCTGTACACGCACTTGAATGGCAAGAGTAGACTGGTCACTGAGATCATGAATTTCATATTTAATTTCATTTAATCTGATCTCATACATTTCTTGACATGAATTCTGCTGAGACTGGCTATCAAAAAAACATGTAAAGTGACTATATATCAGATCTTAAAATGAAACCATGACTTGAAAAAAATAAGAAAGTGATTTCATTTGATTTCATTTAGTCTCATTCTTGATATAAAGTTACTATTTTTAGACATTTTAAGGTTTTTTTTAGACTATTTTTAATTTTTTAAAAAGTAACACTTTTTGATAATACTCAAATAAGTGTAAGAAATCCTGCTTCTCGCGGATTCTTTACCTCTATTTCTATCTCTCATGTAATCAATAGAGCTAGCGGCTCTTGACTACATATAACTATATAGACTGAAGTTTGTGAATACTATTTATAACTCAGCTTGAATACTATTATATATTTAATCTTTATATTTTATCTTTCTACTGTGAATACTTCTAGTAGTTAACAGTATATATCATGTCAAGCTGTAAATATCTGAATAATTATCTGTAAGCACTTATTCTTATATTTCAAGCTCAGTCAGTCAGTAATCACTCATTATAACTGAAAGAACTAGAAACTTATATACTTTAATCTCTGTAAACTCTACTGTAAACACTTAGAAGCAGTTATCTGAATTATGAATAATCTTTATAAAAGAAGTCTCAGAGAACTTATTAATCACTTATAAAATATCATTCTCTATATTTATAACAGAGAAACTCTCTGAATTCATAAATAAATCAATCTCAGTAAAGAACATTCTTGAGTATCTTCTACAGAATTAAGCTATTTTTCTATAAGAAATGTTTACTATCTGTAAACACTCTTGAACTGAGTTTTTAAACATGATCTTCAGAGATATCTATAAACTGAAAAGAAACTTTCTTAAGCTATAATTACTTAAGACTACTTATTGAATCATAATCTATAAAAGCTTTTACAAGTTTGTATTTGAAATTGACTTATAAGCTCAGCTGTGTGATATGAAAGATGAAGAAGCTGTTATTTATATAATAACAGATCTCTATTATACTGAAGTCAAGAACTGACTGAATTATTTAGAGAATGATTATAAGAGATTCTACTGATCTGTTCTCAAGATCTATTTAGAGAATAAGTTAAAGAACTTCATGAGCTGAATAGAGAATATCTGAACTATAATCATTAATATTAGAAAAAGAGATAAGAAATCTGATAAAGACTACTTACAGTACTTTATAGAATTATAATATAAATTAAGATCTGTGAAAACAGAGCTTTGAAACAAGATCTGAATGATGATATTTATAAAGAGACTGAATAAAGATATGCAGAATAAGCTTATTAAGTAAGACTCTAAGCTCTTAACTCTGAAGAAACTAATGACTCTCATTCATTACTTACAGATCACTGTGAGAGTCACAGATCTGTGAAGAGTGAATTATCAATTAACTTCACAAGAGTCAGAACAACAGAGAACAGATTTATCAGAAAAAGATGATAAGATATAGAGAGATTTATATCTGACTACTGAGTAGAGAGAGAGAGTTTTATAAGCTTCTATAAATAGAGTGTATAACAGAGAGATTAAGAAAAAAGAGACTTTACTTTATCTATTTTAAATCAGAATATCTTCATGCAAACTATTTAAATAAATTAAAATAGAAATTTGAAGAGTTATAGACAGAGTTAGTAACAGTCTTCTTATAAGTCTTGAAGCTGATATCTGAATCTGTTACTCTTCTGATAAAAATACTTACTTATAAGAAGAGATTACACTGCAGTACTACTACTCTGCAAGTATAAGAAGTATTAATAAACTCAGAATTTCAGATCACTGTAGTGTCTCTAAAGCTTACAGAGTGAATAAGTTAAAAGATGAAGACTGAGAATCTGCTCTTATAATAAGCAGAATATGAGAACTCAGACCTGAGAACTGAGAGACTTATAAGAATTATCTTTGAATTATAAGATCTCTCTGAAATCTGAAGAAGATTTATAGAAACTGTAATTATTATAAACATCACAGATGACATGTATTTAAGACTTATATAACTTTAAAGACATAATCTGTATATAGCTATCTATGAGTCAGGTTTATACTTCTGATTAATGTTGACAGACTCACTTACAGAGATAGAATCAGTTAATGCTGTAGAGTTAGTTAGAGAAGACAAGCTCATCTATATAATGACTTTACAAGTGTCTGAGAATCTCACAGTTATGAAAACTGAGCTTCAGATATCAGAGAAATACTGAGATCTTACAGAGATATTTAGCTCAGCTAAGACAGCTGAGCTTTCTTCTCACTGTGAGAAGAATCTGATAATAGATTTAATAGAAGAGTAGAAACTCTTCTGAAGATCAATCTATAAGCTCTTTCACTATAAGATAGAGATCTTACAGATCTATATAGAGAAGAATCTGAAGAATGACTTTATCTAATCTTTACAGATCTTTATAAAAGTCTCTGTAATATTTATAAAGAAGAAGAATAAAGATCTCAGATTATATATAGACTACTATAATCTGAACTTCAAGATAATAAAGAGCTGTTACTCTCTGTCTCTGATTAAGAATGTAATTAACTGTCTTATAAGAGCTATCATATTCATATAACTGAATATAATTAATATATATACACAGCTGTGAATACAGTCTGAGAATGAATAGAAGACTGTCTTTAGAACTACACTGAGATTATTTGAATATCTAGTAATGTCTTTTGATCTGACTAATATCTCTATAGCATTTCAGTCTTTTATTAATAAAACACTTCACATATATCTGAATATCTTTATAATAATATATCTGAATAATGTAATAATGTACTCTGTAAAGAAGAAAGAACACACTGAGTATATACAAAGTGTATTGAAGGTCTTAGATAAGGCAGAACTGTATATTAAGCTTATAAAGTATAACTTCAGTGTCTGTCAGATTAATTTTCTAGAATATGTAATCACTGCAGATGATATTCAGATAAAATCTTTATAAGTTAAGACTATTCTATTATAATTAGAGTTAACTAGTATTCATGAGATTCAGATCTTTCTAAGCTTTATGAATTTCTATAGATAGTTTATCTTTATATTTATAAGAATCTTCTTAACTCTTACAGACATACTGAAGAGTGAAAATAAGAAGAAGTCATTCTATAAATGAAGAATGAAAAGATTGTTAAGAAGAGAGAACTATAAGAACTTTCTTATTTCAGAAGCTTACAGAGTCTTTGTAAGATTGAAACAGATATTTATAAATATAGTGATACTGTT